AGATACAGCCACTGGACAGGTGCGTTTTTCAAAAGATGTTTGTCCTTAATAATGAATAGAATGTTATATTTTATGCTATAGTTTCTCGACACTTTCAACACAGTGGAGGTATGTAAATTAAGAGGCGGGAACTCTGATCTTCAGAAGAATAAAGTGTTTCAGATAGGAAACAACGACGAACGCACCAGAACCTATAGATAACAAAAAACACGACATCCCAAATTAAAATGATGTACGAGAAAACTAATAAGGAAATCAGTAGATCGAAGCAGCATTTCGCTAAGCTACCACACGAATCACGCCAAGGGGCCGACATTGTGTCCTGGCAAAAGACACTTTACACGAATTTTCTTCACTTCACCCACGTGGGCATGGGTGTCCAGCTATAGGCAGGGAATATTTTTGTGTGTTCAAGGGTCTGCTGGGGTAATGATAGCTATAAAGTGCATAGAGCGTGATGTGGAGTGTGGACGTGCCCTAGATGATGATGATGATGATGATGATGATGATGATGATGATGATGATGATGATGACCTGCTGCAAATTCATGAAATGAAAATGTTTTGACTTTAAAAAGAATCAATTCATTGTGTGGTTTCATGATATTTTCAAAACGTGTAAGGTATTTAATTTTTAAAATCTAAAAGCAGATACTCCTACCGTCGTCCTTCCCTAGTATGACCCAGCAAATTTGATAAAATAGTAGATCTAGTGGAAATTCCTTCCCCAATTTCAAAAAGAACAGTTTCAGATTTGAATCATGGTCATCCACATCCAAAAAGGTAACATCAAAACGGATGAAGCGTCCAAAAAATAGGTAGAAGAATAAACAAATGATAAAAATTGGAAACAAATAAAATAACAACTATAACTTAATAAGAGACCACCCACCGTCTCAAGATCACAATCGAAGAAATCGCCTGAAAACTCAGAAATGAACACAAGTGTCTGTGGTGAATAAAACACAGAATAGCAAGACGTCTACACTCACTGATAATCAAATCGAGAATGATAATGAAAATCCGAAAACTACTGTCTCGAGCCTCTCTTTGAAGGTACGCTACTTTGCAGTACGTTTCGAAACACAAAAAACTCCTAAAATTTAACTTCTTGTCGTCAGCTGATTACGCGTCAATAGTTGGTCACGGACATTGCCATGCCCGGAAGCGTACGTCTCGCTCGCCTCTCACCCACTGGCCAGGAGGCCGAGGCAGACATGTTTTTAAATTTTCTTTTACAAAGCACAGCAAGCGTTGTTATATAATTATAAGTTGGGTCACCATCAAACGAAACCTTTGCAGCTTCTTTGCAGACTCAACAGCACTCGATGGCAGTGGCAGCCATTGATCGAATTAATAACGAGAAAGAAACAAAAAATTCGACTGGGTTGAGCCTCTCTTTGGAGGTACGCTACTTTGGTGAGTAGTTCGAAACCCAAAGGATGACCAAAATACTTGTTGTCATAATGTTGTCAACAGACTACGCCTGAAACTGCTGACAACTAGAAGGGAATTTTTGCGAGAGACGAAGAAGGACCACTGACAACAAAAGCAATTAGCCTATTAAGCCGATCGATAGTTGGTGGATATTTGGCCCTTTAATGGGAAGAACACGTTATTTAACCACGTGGTACATTCGTTCGAATTGAGAGGTTAAAAATTATATATAAAGTCTCCTCGTTTCCCTTTCCGTTTTGAAAAAGAAACAAACAAGCAAAACCAAAATCTGGTTGTCCCCGGCTGCGTCTAAATTAAATGAATTCAATTGAGAGTGTGCACTTAAGCATTAGCTTTGGTTAAGAGGCGCTCTGATTCCCAGTATTGAGGAAACCCCTTGCTCTCTTCCCCATTGGTAATTCAATTACAATCACAAAGGAGGCTCTCAGCTAACAGAAACTAGGCGGGAATTGACAAAACGAGGGCGGGAATTGATAAAACATGGACCTTCACTGATGCTGAAACCTGTGCAACTGGTCGTAACAGGTGTGTTCACAAAAGGCCACAGCCAGTCAGGGTTTGTGATTTTTTAAATAAAAATTTAAAAAATCATTTTTTAAAAATTTTAATCAGATTTTTTAAATTTAAATCGGATTTTTAAAATTTTAAAAAATAATTTTTTAATGTCGACACAGTTTGGGATTTTTGGTGGCTAAAAGTATGTTCTTTTAGTGCAGAATGCATTGTCTTTATTTCAACTAATGATTAATATAAGCAACTGCGAAAGAAAGCCTTAATCTGCTATTATCAGTGAGTTATGGCTACAGACAAAAAATGAAGAAAATGTCAGTCTAAAAGGAAAGGGGGGGGGGGGGAGGGGGTAATTATGCATAGATAGAAAGGAATTCTAAATGTTTAAAGACGTAAAAACAATACATTTTTTAAAAAGTGATTTAAATCACTGAGCTTTATTTTTAAAATCAAGTTGATATAAATATAAAAAATCAACGGATTTAAATCGACCTGATTTAAATCAACCCAACCCTGGTTTTCAATTATGAAAGGAAAGAAAATTGAATACCGTATTATTTTACATTGACAGGGGGGGGGGGAAGCAGACTTTTAAGCATGATTATATTAGTCTACTAAACCTTATATCTGTTAAATAAAACAAAGGAAATGAATTCTGAATGTTTAAATATGTAAAAACAGAATACATTTTTTAAAAAGTGATTTAAATAACAAAATCAAGTTGATTAAAATAAAAAAAATCAACTGATTTAAATCAACCAAGCTCTGATTTCAATTATGGGGAAAAAAGTAAATTGAATACTGTATTATTTTACAGTGAAAGGGGGGGAAGCAGACTTTTAAGCATGATTATATTAGTGTACTTAACCTTATATCTGTTTTATGAAACCTAGGAAAGGAATTCTGAATGTTGAAATATTAAAAAACTGAATAAAAATAAATTCTAAAAAAAGTGATGCTGAAACCTGTGCAACTGGTCGTAACAGGTCTGTTCACAAAAGGCCCCAGCCAGTCCGACTGATTGTTACGCCAAGTAGTCCTTATACAACCGGGCGGCGTTTTGCTTCTTGTGTTGTACTATTTTTAGCTGACTAGCTGGTTTTCGTTAAGGCTACAGTGGTGTGGTTATTGCACACTTTGAAAGCCATTCTTTAAAAAAAATAACAACCCAAGTATATTTATTTACACATTGCAATCGAACTACAAGCACCCTCCACTCCAGCCCTTCCTAAAATATGACGAATCTTGTCTGCTGTTGGCATACACAAGATCAACATTGCGTCTACCAGAGCACGTGGGTAGAGTTTGTTCTATTAAAGTTCAAAACGTCACATAGCATAGCATTTGCAGTTTTAAGAATATTAAAGCTGATAAGAGCAGCACTTCGCTAATTTGATAAAATAGTGGTGGACATTTTTCCCCAAATTCAGAATGAAGCGTTTCAGATTTGAATCATGGTCATCCACAGCATAGTTCAGAAAAATGACATCCAACATGACGATGTGGCCAACAAATAGGTAAAGGAATAAACAAAATAAATACTGGAAACATAAAATAACAATGAAATAACAAGTGACCACCTACCGTCTCAAGGTCACAAATGTAGAAAACGCCTGAAAACTCAGAATTGAACACAAGTGTCTATGATGAATAAAACACAGAATAGCAAGACGTCTACACACGCTGATAATCAAATCGAGAATGACAAAGAAAATCCAAAAACTACTTGCTCGAGCCTCTCTTTGGAGGTACGCTACTTTGCTGCACGTTTCAAAACACAAAGAAAACTACAATTTTACTGTCTGTCGTCAGCTGATTACGCGCCAATAGTTGGCCCAGGACATTGCCACGCCCCCGAGGCGCACCTCTCGCTCGCCTCTCACCCACTGACCCTAGGAGGCCGAGACAGACATGTTTTTTGTGGCTTTTTTTTATTTGACATAGAACGACGAACGTTGTTATGTTTTTTAAAAGTTGGGACAAAACCAGACCAAAAGTCTACAGTAGTATTTTTTTATTTTTTGTGTGCAGATTACAAGTGTTATCGTTGGCAGTGACAGCCGTTGATCCAATTGATCATAAGAAAGAAACCAGAAAAATCTACTGGTTCGAGCCCCTCTTTGAAGGTACCCTAATTTGGTGAGCAGTTCAAAACACAAAGGATAACCAAACAAACAAACAAACAAACAAACAAACAAACAAACAAACAAACAAACAAACAAGTATATTATGAGGGAGAAGGGTGCTGTCGACTATAAGTGGATTCCATTAATTCCATGAGTAGAGTAATTGTTTCTGGAAAGATAGGAAAAGTTTGTACACAGGAGGATGGTTGGTGGGTCTCTGGTGGTGTGGTTTGCTCGTAATTTCCTATGAAACATCTCTCCATTTTTATGTTTGTTACTTTATTGTAACACCTCTGATCTTAGGCACTTACAATATAATGACCTATTTGTGTTGCAAGTGCCGTAAAAAATCCGATGTTTGTACCCCTAATTTCAGTCTCATACCGGACATCCGTAGGATCACATTACACTGGGCTATGGTTCGAATGCTCTGGATGTGGATAAAAAGCTTTGAATCTGTTCGATAGTGCATGATGTATTCGTTAATGCCCAGCCTTATTTGGTTACTGAGAAACATTAACGCCGGTCCTCCTGGGCACTACCTCTCAGACGCTTGAACTGTGTGTAAAGATTAACTTTAAGCGGTGCTCTGTTATCTTGGTCTGAGTACATGTAAGTTTTCAGTTCTTTACCAACTTGGTAAGGTCCTTTTAAAAATGCAAAGACTTGCCTCTTTGATGACTTAACTGTGCTAAAAGTTCTATCGAAGTGAAAGCTGACAGGTTGCCAGTAAGTAAAGATTAGATCTAATCAAAATATTAACACTAAAGACCAACTGGCCTGTGGCTTTAAACACATTAACACCTGACAGAAATAACAGAAAAATATGGCAGGTAGGACACCCTCTGAGACACTTTACAAAGCAAACAGAACAAAAGATTAAAACCAAAACAACAACACAAGTTCATGTTGGGTTACATTTTGTTTGTTCCTTTTATTTTTCAAAGCAAGAATGAAACATCATCAATAATTCAGTATTAAATACACATTATTGTGGACTCATCTGGTACTCAGAAATATCGCCGTGGGCCTGTGTGTGTTTTTGCCCTCTCAGTCCAAGTGGATGGACCCTGGACCACCAAGCGCAGCCCTGGCAAAACTTTAAAGTCTGTTCATCAATGACTTTTCTCTCCGCACATCATGTGGGTATGTGTGACTTTTCTTGCAGGATCGAGCAAAAGCTTGAGGTGAAGGTCCATTGAAGTTTGCCCATGACGGTACACCACACATCCTGGATGAATATGTGTGCTCACTTCGAGGTGGGAGAGCCTCACGGCCGCCGAGCATAGCCCTGAAAACACAGCAGTTCACCGATGACCTCGTCTTCTTCTCCAGAGGTATCTATCAGATGAACCTGCCACAGACAAAGGATGAATACATTAAAGAAATATTCTTGTTTTCTTGTCACTTTTGATTTGTTTATTGCAAGAGTTTAATAGAGTTAATAAAACAGTAGGTGGGCTGTTGGATCAGTGTAGCGTGGATAACCCTAGTTTGAATCTCCTAACGGGGTTTCTTGGCATATTTGGAGTGTTTTCAAAGTTCTCTTCCCACCTGTTTCGACCTTTTTCTTAAGCTCAGAGTAATTCATCAAATATGAGGTCCTGCCTCTTAAATAAGCTATTTCAACATAAACAATACGGAAAAAAATCGTAGGCCTGTCATGCGAAATGACTGAGCACCGACATTTGAATCTGAGTATCAGACATAAAGTCAAGGTAAACTCTCTCAACAATCAAACATATAAGTGTTATGTATGTAAATGGACTTGTAGAACTTAGCATGTCGAGTGGCAATGTAAAGAAGGGATAAAGAAACCGATTATGATCTTACTACCATCAGCATCAGCAGCAAAATCGTGAGGATGAGGAGGAGGAGATATGGATAACAGGAGGGGAAAAAGGGAGAGGGGTTATGTCTTCATATTCATGTCTTCACTTCCAGAAATTCACTCCTTCTTCATTTTCCCCTCTCTTTCCCGGTCTTGCTTTTTCCTTCTACGTGTACTAAATAGCCGTTAAAGTGCCAAAATGCGTTAATTTGACTCTACTCAAACAAGAAAACTACAAACAAATAATCCCCCGAAATAAATGTAAATCTAGCCTACCTCTAAAGGCTTCACAAAACTGCTTAGGTCTGCCTTGACTTTTTTCTGAGCGTCTTGCTCAGTGTTGTTGGGTACGATGTAAGCGTAGGTGACCTTGTTCATGACACGGGACATGAAATAGAACTTGGAGGCTTCAGACCACTTGTTGGAGATGGGGGTGATCGCTGTGCATAGGGGGGAACAGAAGAGTACATCATGTTATCATGGGGGGAATGATGAACGATACATTACAATGGGTGAAAGGAGGGGGGTATCTATTTCGTAAAAAAATAAAATAATAGTAAGACATATACACACTAAACACACAACATACACACACACACACACACACACACACACACACACACACACACACACACACACACACACACACACACACACACACACACACACACACGCACACACACACACACACACAAACACAGAGAGTGATAAAGAGAAAGAGAAAGAGAAAGACAGAGACACAGAGAGAGAGAGAGAAAGAGAGAGAGAGAGAGAGAGAGAGAGAGAGAGAGAGAGAGAGAGAGAGAGAGAGAGAGAGAGAGAGAGAGAGAAATAGACAGACTGTGCAAAGTAAAAAGAGAAATCGAGAGAGACAGAGAGAAACAGTGTGTGTGTTTGTGTGTGTGTGCGTGTGTGTGTGTGTGTGTGTGTGTGTGTGTGTGTGTGTGTGTGTGTGTGTGTGTGTGTGTGTGTGTGTGTGTGTGTGTGCGTGTGTGTCAGTTTTTAAAGAGAGAAATATACTGACAGAGAGAGAGAGAAAGACAGAAAGAAATAGAAAGAAAGAAATAAAGAGCACAAAATAGAAAGACACGCGGCTTACAGAGAAGAAAAAACTAC